AAAAGAACAAAATATTGGGAATAATTTTGTTTTTAAAGTGTAAGACTTGGGGCTGGCCCCGTGGCGCACTCAGGAGAGTGCAGTGCTGGGAGCGCAACGCCGCTCCCACCGTGGGTTCGGATCCTATATAGGAATGGCCGGTGCGCTCACTGGCTGAGCACCGGTCACGAAAAGACAAAAATAAACGCCGCTCCCACCGTGGGTTCGGATCCTATATAGGAATGGCCGGTGCGCTCACTGGCTGAGCACCGGTCACGAAAAGACAAAAATAAATAAATAAAAAATAAAATAAATAAATAAATAAAAATGTGTAAGACTTGGGCAACAGAAAACTACAAAACATTGTTGAAATAAATGAAGGAAAAACTAAATAAATGGGAAAAAACCATGGTCAGTGACTGGAAGACGATACTGTTAAGATGACAATACTCCCCAAATCTCTATCAAAATCCCAGATACTTTTTTCCAAAAATTTACAAGCTAATCCTAAAGTCATATGGAAATACAAGGGACCCAAATAGTTAAAACAATCTTGAAAAAGAAAAAAAAATGGAAGCACTAATGCTTTCTGAACTCAAAACTTGCTACAAAGCTACATTTTCTAGACAGTGTCGTACTGGCATAAGGACAGATACATACAGCAAGGGAATAGAACTGATAGTCTAGAAATACATTCTTATATTTATGGTTAATTGATGTTTGTCAAAGGTGCCATGACTATTAAATGGGAAAAGAATAGTGTTTTCAGTATATGGGGTTGGGATAACTGCATATTTACATGCAAAATTGGATCCTTCCTCATGCCTAACAAAAACACTAACTCAAAATGGGGTAAGAAATAAACCTATAAAACCATTAGAAGAAAATATAGTATTTAGCATGACCTTGGGTCATACAATGGTGTCTTAGATATGACAACAAAAACTCAAGCAAAGAAAGAAAAACAGGTAAATTATATTTCATCAAAATTAAAAACTTTCCTACTTCGAAGGACACCATAAAGAAACTGAAAAGTTAACCCACAGAATGGGAAAAATCTGTGCAAATTCTATGTGTGATAAGGCACTTGTATCCAGAATATATAAAGAACTCTTACAATTCAACTATAATAAAGAAAAATAACACTTTTTAAAAATGGGCAAATAATTAGGGTAGGCATTTCTCCAAAGAAAATATACAAATGGCTGATAAGCACATGAAAAGATGCTCAATGTGATTTGTAATTAAAGAAATGCAAATCAAAACCACAATGAGATACCACTTCAAACCCACTAGGATGGAATAAAACAAAAAGACAATAACAAGTGGTGGTGAGAATATGGAGAAACTGGAACCCTCCAGCATTGATGGTCAGATTGTGAACTGCTGCAGCCACTTTGGAAAATGGTTTGACAGCTTCTCAAAATGTCAAATATAGAACTACCAAATCGTTCTTACATCCACCACGTTAGTGTAGTAGATCTTCGTAAGCTGAGGGGCTCTGAAACCACCTGGATTTAAATTCCAGCTGTACCTCTCTTTACTCAGGTTACTTAATTTTGTGTTTCTGTAACTCTATCACGTGAATAATAGTGCCTATCTCTTGTGGGAATTTAATTATGAGATAAAACATTTAAAATAGTTCATGTCACATAGCAGATACTAAATACATATTAACTATTATTGTTGTTGTTCCTACTATTATTTACCAATTTTCTAGTTTCAAGTATGAGCTGGCTGTTTAGCTTGGTTGGTTAGAGCACAGGCTCATAACACCAAGGTCACGTGTTCAGATCCCCGTACCAGTCAGCTGCCAAAAAAATTAATAATAAAGGCATTCTAGCTTCGAGTATAAAATATAAACCTCCTCTAATACTTCCTGCCATTCGAGAATGTCATAGAGAGAGACTTTGTTCCTGGCATCCTCCTGCTCCAACTTGCTCCTATCTTGGGGAAGGTGGAGAAGCAGGGGAGAGAGACCTATATGAAGACTGGTCAGAGCATTATTCCTGGTGCCACGTGCTCAGTGGCTGAGTCTTCTCTTCTGCAGTTGTCTCAAAGATTAGTCAGAAAAGTCAGGGTTATCCTCTTTTTCGCTCTTGTGAAATAAACTAGATACAAGACTACGTACAGGCAAGTCAGGAGGCCTTTCCCTTTATCCCACAGTCTCTGACCTGATGATGACAGGTTTGTGAGGTGGATTACATATTATATACTGTTGAGTATGTGTACTCAGACCTATATGTAGACTGTAGCATCCCCTGAACAGAATACAAGATCTATATTTGGAGAAAAGAAATAGAATAAAATAAGAGATCTTCCTTTTGGTCTTAAATATAATACACACCCTTTAATCTAGTCTTACCTGGTAGAACTGTCCCTCTCTGACCTTAATTTAAAGTCATTATAATAAAGCCCATAATTTGATCATTTAGCAAATTGTTCCAGATGGGAGAAGGGGTAATTTTCATTTTAAATGTTAGAAGACCTAAATAGAAGATATCCAGTCTTCCTCGAAATTTTTCTTCCAAAAAAGTAATGTGGTGGAAGGAAAAGAGCCCTACAACTAGTTTCTAATATAGAGAGGCAAGAGCTAAAGGTCATAGGGGGCTGGGGGACTCCAAGGGTTCTTTCTTCCCAGAAGGCCCAACAATTAACTAAGTTGTCCATTTTTAAAACCTGGCAGTCTGTCATTGTACCTTGTCTTACCTCCCTTCTATGTCCAATCAATCATGTTCTTCTGATCCTGCATAACCATTTTTTCAACTCTGCATTTCTTCCACCTCTTCAAACCAAGCCATCATCTTACCTTTATCAGGAATATCGCTATCTCCTCTTAATGTTCCTCAGTATCCACTTGAGGCCTAGTATGTCCAATTTATCCCTCACTTTGTGGCCAGAATAATCATGTTAATAAGTAAAAACAACTGTGTCATCCTCCTCCTTAAAATTCTTCCTTTGCATTTCACTACCCTTAGTATAAAGTTAATTTTTTGTGTGTTGTTAATAAGAAAAACTCTGCTACTTCAGCCCACATCCACTTCAGACTTACCTTGAGTCTCTCTCCTTTTGATTTCTGAAGCCCCAAATATATTTGATTTATTTCAGTTCTTCCAAAGCAGCAATTTCATTCCTTATATTGGGGCGTTTGCACATGTTAAACACATTTGCAAGAATGTTCTATCCATCCCATTCCCACCTTGCAACAACAAGAAGAAAAAATTCAACCCAGAATCTGATCTTTTCATACGCTAACAGTATGGCTGGTGTCTGCCTTCTCTCAGACACACCTGCCAACTCCCTCAAGCCCTGCACATGGATTATTCAAACTTTGATGCCAAAAAAGAGTTTTAAAAATCTGTTTATACCATAGAAGCCAAAGTTGTAAAAGTAACTAAAGATGATTCTTCCTAGTAGAACCAAATGTGTACTTTACTTTATTCCTCTTTAATGCAAAGGAACCTCTGCCTTAATCTCTCAGGCATAGCTTCAGACTGAGGATTTAGGAAATGTAGGTTCTGTCTTATCACATACCCTTCATGATTATTCCTCTATAATTAGTGACTCTCTAGTAAAACCGTAAGCTTCCCCAAGGCAGAGACATTATATCAACATAATGCTTTCAAGTGACTCTCGTGGCCTTTTCATAACTCTGTGGTAACATAGATCAGGTTCTGGTCACTCAAGACTGGTGCTCTGTCTTTCTACGACTCTGGCCGTAAATTCACGTAACTGCCTTCTACCTTCACACAACAGAAATCCATGCATTTACTACCGAGGACAGGCAAATTCCCCAATGAAAAAATGTGTCTTTACTATCCAAAGTTCAACTTCCCTATATTCAACTATCAAGGAAACTGAATCTGCAGAGAATATTGATAGATAAAAGAGACATTTCTTTCAGGGTAAAAAAGACTCTGAACCTTAGTTTGGCCACATCGTCTGTGACATGCAGGAGGCTATTGCCAACTACAATGTCTGTCCTTTTGCCCCTCACACAGAGGTGGAGAAGACTCTACAAACCCTTCCTCTCCTTCTACTGACTCCCATCTCTCTGTGGATCAGCACCAACTCCAATCTTATTTTGCCTTATCTTTCTATCTTCCTCATAAGTCACAATCACCCCAGGAGGGAGCACAGGGAGGAAGGTATAAAATGCCACCTCTCCTTCTCTGGTAAAATTATAAAATAGACCAAAGGCCCAAACGGAGGCCTGAACCTGGATGGTCTGTTAGAGGATGATGACAGTGATGAAAAACTGGTGAAAAAGACTAGGAGTCAAGAAGTCTGGGTTTTACTCCTAGCTCATGTATTTACTTTTGTGATTCTGGATAAGTTATTTTTGTTTTCTGGGTTTCATTTACCTCAACCGGGGAAAGATTGCATTAGGCACAATTACTTCCAAGCTTCTTTCTAATCCCCAAAATGCCAATAATTTTAAAGGTGTCTTTCATGAGTAGACTTCCTCATGAGCAGCTTCAGGTTATGGCTTGGGTGTCCCATGAATGGTACCAAAGATTTTGGGGAATTAGGTCAGGCCACAACTTATCTCAGGACCAGTCTAAATGCATAAGACGGGACACCCTGCCTGTGCCCTGCTCCATCTCCACCAAATTCTGCATGTGGTAGATCTTTTCTTATATGTCGAATTATAAAAATAACAAGTCAGAGACAGAGAATAAAGACCACAAAGGAAGGGACATCAAGGCTTTATAAAATAATTATTCAAAATTTTCTATTACCTTCATTTCTTTTGGTAGCCTGAAGATTTAGAGAACAAAAGTAACTAATACAACCTTTAAGAGCCTTGCCTTAACCCCACCCTCTGCAGTAAAGACTGCTCCCCAGAGTACCCTAAATATAGATTTAAAAGTGCACTAAACCCACCCCAACTCAGAATACCAGCTTGTGCCATTGGAAGTGACTTCATATTTTTTTCTTTCTCTTCCCTGTATCCTAAAAAAGGTAAATGGATAAAACCATCCACCCCAAAGCCTAGGAAGACAAATCCCTGGACCTACCTTTCTTCAAGCCTGCACTGTCTGCTGTGTGTCTGATGCACGTGAGGCTCTGAGCAAGTGCCTCAGGGTTCTTCGGTCCAGATACAATCACTTTCCCTCACTCCAAACCTCCTTCACGCGGATCAGATCTGCGTTCCTCTTCTAGGAGTTTTCCGAAAACCTAAGGGCTGTGTTGAGAAGCACAAACAGTTCCTTTTTTTACGCCAGAAATGCTAACTGATTTTGTGCCTCTACCGTGGATGTGTACGTGTATTGTGAAATTTGCTGAACAAGCGGTGACTTCCTCGTTACAGTCTGGCATATGAAAATAATAGTGATTACTACTGTAGATATCAGTGGTTAAGATTTTACTGGGTGCTTGACTCTGTTCAAAGGTCTTTGTACACACTATTTTAATGACATTTAGAAGCATTTTTAAAGCCCCTTTTCACAATTTCACACATTTTCATGCTCCCCTTCTTTCCCTGGAGAAGGATGTGCTGCAATTTTATACACAATGTAAATGTCTTATTTACATGAAATGCCACCATTGGAAATTCATCATGAATGACCATGAAATGGCAAGTTGGTTGTATAGTAATAGTTAATACAACACCTTTCTAAGTCAAAAAGGCAGCTAGAATAGAAAGATCCTGGCCTTTTACTAAGACAAAGTAAAATCAGTAAAAATCAGTCAACTGATTTTTGTCACAGGAACCAAGAACATACATTGGGGAAAGAATACTCTCTTCGATATATTGTGCTGGGAAAACTGGATATCCATATGCAAGAGAAAAAAAAAGATCCCTATCTCTTACCATCTATCAAAATCAACTCAAAGTGGATTAGAGACTTAAATGTAAGACCAGGAACTTAAAAACTACTAGTAAAAAACATAGGGAAAATACTCCAAGATGTTGGTCTGAGCAAAACTTTTATGGAGAAGACTTATAAAAAACAAGCAATGTAAAGCAAAAATAGACATACAGGACTGCATCAAACTAAAAAACATCTGCACAGCAGAAGAAGCAATCAACAGAGTGAAGAGACAACCAGAAGAATGGGAGAAAATTTTTGCAAACTGTTCATCCCACGAGGGATCAATATCCAGAATATACAAGGAACCTAAACAATTCAACATCAAAAAATAATAATAATATGATTCAAAAAATGGGAGAATTACTTGAATAGACATTTCTTAGAGGAAGACATACAAATGGCCAACAGGTATGTGAAAAAATGCTCAACATCACTAGTCATAAGGAAAATGCAAATTAAAACCAAAATGAGATATCATCTTACCCCAGGTAGAATGGCTATTATCAAAAAGAAAAAAAAAATAACAACTGCTGGTGAGGATGCAGAGAAAAGGGAATTCTTATATGCTGTAGGTGGAAATATAAATTAGTACAGCCATTATGGAAAACTGCAAGAAGGCCCCTCAAAAAAACCAATATAGAACTGCCATATGATCCAGCAATTTCACTCCTGGGTATTTATCCATGGAAAGGAAATTAGCACACCAAAGAGTCATCTACATCCCAATGTTTACTGCAATGTTATTCAAAATAGCCAACATACAGAATCAACCTAGGTGTCCATCGACAGATGAACAGATAAAGAAAATGTTGTATATATTCACAATGGAGTATTAATCATCCATGAAAAATAAATGAAACACTGTTATTTGCAGCAACATGGATGAACTTGGATGACATTATGTTAAGAAAAATAAGTTAGGCACAGAAAGATTAATACCACATGTTCTCACTCATATATGGGAGCTAAAATAATAATAATAATAATGATAATGTGAATTTTAGAAATAGAAAGTAGAATTGTGTTTATTAGAAAGTAGGATAGGGAGAGGTTGATTGATGGGCACAAAATTGTAGAATAGGAAAAATAATTTCTAGTGGTCTACAGTAGTGCTAGGCATGTATAGTTAGCAATAATTTATTATATGTTCTCAAATGGTGAGAAGACACGAGATCAAATGTTCTTATTACACCCAGAAAAACTGGATATGTAAAAAGAAAAAAAATGTTCTCATCACAAAGAAATGATAAAGTTTTGAGAGGGTGAATATGCTAATTATCCTGGTTTGATTATTACACATTGTATGCAGGTATCGAAATATAACTCTGTACTCCATAAATGTGTACAACTTGATGTGTCAATTACAAACTAAATATTTTTTTAAGTAAATAAATAAATAAAGTAAAAGAATGATAAAAATATATCAGGTGAACCTTAAACCAAAAACACTTAAGAGACAAAGTTGACCTTGGAGCAAAACACATTACTGATGAAAAAGATGACTATTTAATAACTACAAAAATACTCAGATCTCTAGGAAGATGTAATAATTTTAAATGCATAGATGCCTATTAACAGACCTCTAAATATATAAAGCACAAATTGACAACCTGCAGAGCAATGATGTTTTTAATACACGTAATCAAGAAAGAGTACATATCCAGAATATATAAAGAACTGTTACATGCATTAAGTAAAAGAGAGACAACTCAGCAGAAAATTGTTCAAAAGACATGTCAGGCACTTCACAAAAGAGAATATTCAAATATCCAAAAAGTATATGAAAATATGTTTAATCTCATTAATACAAGAAAACAAATATTATTTATCTTCTCAAAAAGTCAACTTTTTGTTTCATTGATCTGTTGTATCATTTTGGGATCTCTATTTCATTTAGTCCTGCCCTGATCTTAATTATTTCTTTCCGTCTACAGCTTTTAGAATTGGATTGTTCTTGTTTTTCTAGTTCGTTGAGGTATAGTATTAGGTAATTTATTTGAAGTCTTTCTATGTTTTTGATGTAAGTGTTCGTTGTGATAAACTTCCATCTTAGTACTGCTTTTACAGTATCCCACAGGTTTTGGTATGATGTGTCTTTATTTTCATTAGTTTCAAGAAATTTTTTGATTTCCTGTTTAATTTCTTCTTGGACCATAAGTCAGTCAGGAGCCTGTCGTTTAGTTACCATGTATTTGTTTAGTTTCCAGAGTTTCACTTGTTATTAATTTCCAGCTTTTTTTTATTGAAACATAATTGATGGGCCGGCCCGGTGGTGCGCTGCTACGGTGCACCGCTTGGGAGCGTGGTGGCGCTCCCGCGGAGAGGGTTCGGATCCCACATACAGACCGGTTCCCGCTCACTGGCTGAGTGAGGTGTGGGAGCAACACCGAGGGTTGCGATCCCGTTGCTGGTCCCAGTCTGGTACGGGTGTGACACTGAGGGTTGCGATCCGTTGCCGGACACACACACACACACACACAAAAAAAAAAACATAATTGATTACATATATTTGTAGGGTGCAGATTTGAATATCAATACATGTGTGCAAGAAGTGGGGATTAAAATCAGGATAGTTAGTATACTCACGTTTACAGAATGTAATCTATCTTTGTGACTGATTGTCAGTTTAAATCCATTGTGGTCTGTAAAGATACTCAAAGAGATTTCAATTTTTAAAAATTTGCTATGACTTGATTTGTGACCTAACACGTGGTCTATCCTGGTAAATGTTCCATGTGCTGATGAGAAGAACGTATATTGTGTACTTTTTGGATGAAGTGTTCTTTAGACATCTGCTAGGTCCAATTGGTCTAAGGTGTAGTTTAAATCCTGTGTTTCTCTGTTGATTTGCTTCCTGGATGATCTGTCCAGTACTGAGAGAGGGGTGTTCAGCTCCCCCACTATTATTGTATTGGGGTCTATCTCTTTCTTTAGGTCTAATACTGTTTGGTTTATATATCTGGGTGCTCCAGTGTTGGGTGCATACATATTTATGATTTTATGTCTTCTTGCTGGATAGACTTCTTTATCATTGTATAGTGTCCATCTTTGTCTCTTTTTATGGATTTTGGTTTAAAGTCTTTTTTATCTGATATAAGAATAGCTACTCCTGCTTGTTTTGGGTTTCCGTTCACATGGTATAACTTTTTCCATTCCTCATTTTTAGTCTGTGTTTGTCTTTACAGGTGACCTGAGTCTCTTGAAGACACCATATACTTGGGTCTAGCTTTTTAATCCAGTCAGTCAGCCTGCATCTTTAGAATGGGGAGTTTAATCCATTTACATTTAGGGTTGCTATTGACAGGTATTGTTTTACTCCTGGCATTTTATTGCTGTTTGTTTAGATGTTTTAAATATCTTTTGTCCCTTTCTTCCCCTTTTATTATTCATCTTCAATGTTAAAATACACAAGCCATTAGCTAAGTTACCACAAAAAAGAAGAGAGAAGACCCAAATAACAAAAATCAGAAATGAAAGAGGAGACATTACAACTGATACCACAGAAATACAAAGAATCATTACAGACTATTATGAACAACTATATGCCAACAAGTATGAAAACTCAGAGGAAATGGAAAACTTTCTGGATGCATACAAACTACCAACAATGAACCAAGAAGAAACAGAAAAACTGGAATGACCAATAACAAGCAATGAGATTGAAGCAGTAATCAGCAGTCTCTCAACAAAGAAAACCCCAGGACTGAATGGCTTTACTGCTGAATTCTATCAAACCTTTAAAGAGGAATTAATACAAATTCTTTTCAAACTATTCTGAAAAATTAAAACATAGGTCACTCTCCCAAACTTATTCTATGAGGCCAGCATCACCCTGATACCAAAACCAGACAAAGATACAACAACAAAAAAGGAAAACTACAGGCCAATATCCTTGATGAACATAGATGCAAAAATCCCCAACAAAATATTAGCAAACAGAAAGCAACAACACATCAAAAAAATTATACACAATGATCAAGTAGGATTCAACCCATGGATGGCTCAACATATGCATCAATAAATGTGATAAACCATATCAATAAAAGCAAGAACAAAAGCATACAATTATCTTAATAGACACAGAAAAGGCACTTGACAAAATTCAACTTCCCTTCATGATAAAGCTCCTCAGCAAATTAGTTATAGAAGGAAAGTATCTCACCACAATAAAAGACATATACATCAAACTAATCTCCAATATGATCCTAAATGGATCCTTAAGAACAAAAGCAAGACAAGGATGCCCACTCTCATCATGTTTAACATGGTACTGGAAGTACTTGTTACACTTCCCTCTGTGTA